TCTCTCTCTCTCTCTCTCTGTGTGCTTGTGTATGGAATGCAATCGCTGCCTCTGATTGGCTTACACTGATACTTTAATACTCGGGCGTACTATAAGCGGAGCAGACTCCGCCAGGAATGTCCGCAGTCATTCGGGCTTTTGTAGTCGAGCGCACTTCTGCGTTGTATTTTCTTGTAAAAATGACCGTGAAAAATCCCCGCAATGTGAAAAATACATGCCGAGCAGTCACTGGTGCGCGGAGCGGAGTCCGCTCGTAAAATCTGAGCTTTGCGTGCACAGGGCTTGCGGACATCCGCTTTGAGTCCGCGCGGACCTCCGCAGAGTCCGTTCCGCCCGAGTATGTTCGGGACAGACACACATCACATGTGTGGAGATACATCACTTTCCTCCACCGTGTCAATGTGATGACGTCATCAAATGACTTGTCGACTCGACTTCGACTTTATTGACAGATAAGTCAACCTGAAAAAAAATCAAAGTCGTTAATGCCCTGATTTGTACAGTCCTGTGTCTATTGAAAGTGCACTAACTTGTATGAAAAGTGCTACAAATAAAGACTGTGGCGTATCCCCAGGGGTCAAAGGCTAATGACAACAAACATTTTTATACAAATAAAGTATATTTTAACACACTTGAGAGTTGGACAATAAGGCACAACAGAGTTTCATCCTACACCATCCATGAAAGTTTTGATATTTTATGTTTGGGGACAATAGGAGTCCCTCGAGGATTTATAACAAAAATGCACAAAAACAACAAAAAAGTCAGCACAAGGTGGATACACTGAGGCTATACACTGTGGCTTACTTCCCCTCCCTCTGAGCTATCACAAAGATTATTATGTTCATGCTGCAAGGACACACGCTCACAAACACATAGATGCACATAACGTGCATACTTATCATTTGCATGCTGCTATAATCGCCCATCCCTCTCAAACCAGATGCTCCCCCGACTCAGGACTCAGTAATTCTACTCAGCCCTGCTGTAGCACAAATGCAAGGACACACCCACCGGCAACACACACTCACACACACACAGTCACACACACATATACTGGGTCAGGTAATTAACAGTCTGTAGATCTAAGCTAGCTTTAATCTAATCAAGCCACCCAGCCTCAATTTCCCCCATGGGTTTGCACAACAATTTACACACACAAACACGCACACTTTTCCTTTTTTATCTTTCATCCACTTCTCTCTTTTCCTCCCTTGCTCTATTCATCTCACTTAGGCACCAATTTGGCATTTTTATCAAACACATTTGTAATTTAGCACACACCTGTTTCTCAAAAGAATCCATAATGTGTGCATCTATTTTTATTGTGTGATTGGTAATGTGTGTGCACGAGGGAGTGTGTATGTGAGTGTGTGTGTCTGTCCTTCTCAAGCTAATCTCGCAAACTACTGGACCAAACACCGGTTTTATTGACCGTTTTATATCTTCATTGACGTCTAATTCCTCTTAACTCACTAGGGGCTGCAAGTTTTCCAGAAATTAACTCAACTAAAACATCAAGCTGCACAGTCAGTTGCAGGTCTCATTTTGGCTTTGATTGTGGCTTAAGCACTGACATCCATAGAACGGTTTATCTGATTTTGAACCGAAGCACCTGCAGATTAATTTCAAACTCAATATGTTATGATCTGCTAAAGTAAGGCACGTTACAAGACGAATTAGTCCCTGCTTTTGTTATCTTTGCCATCTTGACAAAGGGAGCCAGGAGGGACAAGTCCATCAGGCAAAGCTACCACCTGGTTTTGTTCTATCTGCTGCATGACCTCATACCACACCAGAAACGTTTCAGAAGCCAGTGTTTGCCTGCCCAATTTTGTCATGCTGATTTTGTTGATTTGGGCATTTTTCCTTGATATTTGTGCTTCTCCCCTAAGTAAGTAGGCTATGTAGTTACATGGTTTCTCTTTTTTGTCTGTTTTAATTGTGTTTAAAGTTGTTATTTCCTATTTTGTTGTGTTATGGCTGACAGACAAAGTTAAGACAGTTTAAAGTCTAGTTATGAATACATTAATCAAAGGTTTGTGGCTGTGTTTTAGGTATCCAAATACATTCTTCCTCATAATTATATTGTATCTATAGCCCCGTTTCCACCAAGCAGTCCAGTACGGTTCAGTTAAGTTCGGTAAAAGAGGATAGTACCAATGGAACCTTTCCATATCGTCCCCATTTTTGGGTCCCCCCTCTGTCGGGGTACCTAGCACACAGATCTGGTACTAAAAGGTGGAGCTGTGAACACTGCAGTCTGTTGATTGGTCAATAGCAGACAGTCACTCTGCTCAGGGCTGAGTTGTGGCTGGTTTTGAGGCTCATGTAACCACTGTTCGTGGAGAGTTTTATTAGTAAAATATAACTATATAATGAAAGGATGTTTTGCTGCCTCTTGCAGCAGCTGGAGTCGGAGAAAAAAATGATTTAATTCACTAGGCTGACTGCCAGCAACTTTTAAGGTGGAACGTTAACTTGTAATGTTACTCAATGCACGAGTTGACGGCGTGAATCTATCAGCACTCCTTAAATTTCACTTTACCAACTTTGACCATTACGTACGTTTTTATATGACATACACTTTTAGTAATGAGTGGATCTTCAAGCATTTAAAATGTTTATTAATTTCGACTGGATTATGTGAACTGCATATATTCTAATCCTCACTCGGAGAAAAAAAAAGCATTGCGAAGCGTCGTCCCTGTGGGCTCCGGCAACACTAAACCCCTGAGCTGGCCTTAGAAGGGCTAAATACACAAACTCGCTATTTCTAATTATCTCATCAAGTGAGACTCTCACTGCAGCCTGTTCTGTTTTATTCAGAAAATGTTGCCGTGCAGCCTTGTTCTGTGGGCAATAAATAAACTGCAGACTTCCATTTGTGTCACCGGTAAAGAGGAAATACAGTGAGAGCTGGATGAAG